AAAATCCATCCGTCATTTGACCATTTAAATCTGCTCACTTTAGACTTGCCATGCACCAGTTATGCTAAGTATTCGCTAAGATCTCCATTGGATTGAGTATACCTGGTGTATGGGTAACATTATGGAGTGAGCCTATTTTTGATTGTGCGTTGTAAGTTCGACTCTCAGAAAAAATTTGCACATTTCCTCCTTGTGGTTTATGATCCGTGAACGAGCCAATTTTACTAAAAATAGTGCTGAGCTCCACAAAAAAAATCATAAAAAAAAATAAAAGGACTAAGAAAGGACGAACCTTGAAACGGTCACAATTTTTCTATGCACCTTTGGCGTAGTTGGTTGACTGACGATTTTAGCTGAAAAGATATATTGCAATCATGCCGTAAATAAAAATGAAAAAGTGGACGTGAAACAAGACACTAAAGGCCCTAGCTATATGTTCCTTCTTACCTAGACAAGAAAGTTTCCTTTTTTATAACATAGATGCATTTGCAGTAGGAAACCTGTGATTCTATGCAATGTATAACATGCGTGCGCAAAAGAAGCAAAATCTTTACGTATTAAGGATCATTTGCGTGACACAAGTATGAAAGAAAGAAATAAAATAGAGGTGGTAATTGAATGAAGTTAGTGACAGAGAATGAACGAACAAATGAATTGACGAATGAATGAACAATGTACCTATAATTAAACGCGTACTTTGTCTGTATATGTGTTTGTGTCTGTGTCTGTTATGAAATTTACTTATGGCTTAAGAAAGCTAAAAAAACAGTTACCAAGCGTTATCATGTTAACAGCGGACCACTAAGTAAACATGAGCAATTTCATTTGAAAAAGCGTTAGGATTTCTGTTCATTTAATGTGGCTATGGATTGCCTCGGTAGGGACACATGCCTATATGCTCTTCTCGTTCAAGAAGAGTTGAGAGCAAGATCAAAACTTCAATACTTCCATTGGTAATGCACATATGATGCCTTTTTGGGGCAGGTAAGAGTCTTTCTTAAAGTATTGAATTTAGCTATTAAGGAAGTGCCACTGCGAGCTTCTCCGAAGCAGAGATGAAGTACTGTTGGTAAATAAACAAAGAAAACGAATGAATGAATCTACTAACACTTACTGGACATTAAAGGATTACATTCAACTATCAAATAATTTTATTCAAAACAGAGGTGAAGAAATTTCATGCAATGCGGTATCTTTCTTTTTTTAAGGATCAAAGTTGAGCCTTAACTTTGAAGGTAAAAGACTAAAAATTACGTCAAAAAGAAAAAGTGTGGTA